CAATTTACATCAACCACAAAGCAATACAGAATGAGTTTAGGCCAAACTGATAAAGACAAGTCTTTTATACATGAATAACTAATGCGGCAAATGAATAGCCATGCTGACTTCTGAGATCATCATGTGATAACTGATAAGCCTAACCCTAAGCATCCACTACCAAAAACTCAAGGGTTGCCAGTGGGCATATAAACAATATTAGTAGTTTAAGGTGAATTACTGAAAGGAAATACCTACACTCAAAGCCGAGATGGTTGACGTATGATACTGCCTTTTTCAAATTCAGCACCATCCCTGGTAAGCAACTAGCGTTTTTGCGAGATCCAACTTCCTCTACTGCTTGTAGATCAACATAGAGAATGTTCGTATTTGCTGGAAAGCTAACCTGCGAACTAAATTTAGAGAAACATATATGATAAAATAATTGATAAGATATTGCCAAATTGAACTGTAATCTTATAGAGAAAAATATCAATCTTAAACACATCACTGGTTCTCTGCATCCAATCAAACTGACTGAACTGAAGCAGGTATTCTTTGAAAGAGGTAAGCATTACGGAACACAAATGTTCTAAAACTATGATCATCATCATGTAATACCAACAAATGATTGCCATCCCGGTGAAGCTTAGTCCAACAAAATATATTACAGAAATTAGTTTTGTGGACTAAACTTTTCTGGTGAACTTTAAGTGGTATTTTGGAGAAGCAACAAAACCATGCCCCCCCCCCCTCCCCCAGAGAGAGAGAGAGAGAGAGAGTAGTATGTGCATACTTGCATTCCAATTTCAAGAGTGCATGGTTTTTATGCAGTTGAGAATGACCTAAAGAAATATTACCTGCCGGTTACTGTAGGTTCTGGGATGCCATACTTTTCAAACTCAGTGTACTCAATACAAGTGATGCCATATGACCATAGCCCCTCAAGATTTAGTTTCTCAATAAGGACATTCACTCCTTCAGTAGCCCCTGGTCTTCGCTCACAAGATGCAAAACCTAATTTCTGAAGCATGATGTCAACTCAAAGAGTTTCAAACAACAGACTACCAATTTGATGGTGCAAAAATAGACATTATATAATGACTTGTATCAGAGACACACGGGAGCCACCTCAAAATAGGATAGTACTTAATGCCTTTTCTTTTACCTTATTGCATCGAAGGCCTATTCCTGCCAATGCCATCATGGTCAAATCAGTTGCAGCAACCACATTGCTGAAAATAACAAACAAAATCCACAATTATATCCTGTCAAAATGCTTTTTCAAAAAAAAAATATATATCCTGTCAAAATGTTTTATTGATTGACACCCCAAAAAGGAAAAGAGATCATTCAGCGGACAACCTGACTTGGCGTACAGTTGCACCTTTTCTGCCACAATTTTGTAACCATTGGAGTACACCTCTATCATATGCAAGTTTCCAAATAGCACCATGACCACCAGGTTTACCAACAGGAAAAAGTGATTTGCTGACTAACCATTTACCATCCTCGGCGTTTACTACAGGTACCAAAGGCTACAGATACCATTGAAGAAATTTAGTTAGAGCTTCATAAAACTTGTGGGCAGAATGATTAAATTCCGATTCTACAGACTACAAACGAACACTCTAATAAAAAAGGGCGTATCCAGTGCTGAGAGCATCCCGCACTGTGCGGGGTCTGGGGAAGGGTATTAGCAACAAGCCTTACCCTTGAGATGTGCAAATGCAAGGAGGCTGCGGCTCGAACCCAGGACCTTCCAGTCACAGTCGGTAGTACTCTACCGCTTGCACCAGGTCCGCCCTTCAAACGAACACTCTAATGGATGGATATATTATATAAGTCCCTGGTTATATACCTGTTCAAACAACCGGAAATTGTCACGGCCTCTACCAAACCAATCAAGTCTTTCACATATTGCAATTATATGTTCATGATTATCCTTCACAGAACTAGTCATGATTGCAACTGGGGTTATACATTGACCTCCAAAGATCTTGAAGTGGAGAAACTCTCTAGCCTGCCAAACAAAGTAGCACTTCACATTGTTATATAATAACTGGGTATAGAGCTTTATAGCTATTTTAAGCCTTTACAAACATAACTAGTCCAAAAATAACAAGGCACTTACACAACCAAAAAGCAATTGAAAAAACTAGCTGCAACAATGATATCCCTTTCTTAAGCGGACATGATCAAAGTGTGTAAAAACAGGTGTTACAGTAGAAGAAACTATATGCAAAGAAACATCAATTTACTATTGTATGTAGACACCATAAGTCGGTAAAAAAAGAAACTACATGCAAAGAGGAATTTCATATGCACAACAAGTTACCTGCAGATCCCTTATCAGCCCTTCCAACAGAGATCTCCCACAGTAAGGGAGCAACGCAGCAGGAAGGGATTCACCAGTATCTGAGTCCACTAAACCAAGACGATCACCCGCACCACCAATTGGGTAAATTTCACCTAGTTCTGGCAAACCCTAGAAAACATCATATTTCAGTTTGTACCTTACAACAGAATACAGATGCCTTATTTAATGTGCAACATTACTCAATATAATTTGCACTTGAAATAAGAACAGTAACCAAGTATTGACATCCTTATCGTAAATTTCAGATAATGTCGTAATGTTGTAAACGAAATAACCTCAATTCCCCACAGAGCTGCTTGAGATGCATGTTCTTTATCCTCCAACAAATTAAGTCCACTGGGAACATGGAAATCAACAAACTTGTCTTTGCTAGGTCGGGGCATGCGATCCTTAGAGGCTGAAAGGAACTCCAATGCCATAATTTGATAGCTGATGTGGATAAAGGAAGTAAAGAACATCAATACTACTAATACTCTTCTAGATATAACAGATTAACAACCAGATAAACAAAATGGCTTAAGGGGATAAGTTAGAACTAGGGATGCACGTCTTGTTTTTTTTTTGGGGGTCATTGGGTCGACCCAAAACTCATCTGATTGAACTGATCCGGATTTCAAAGCAAGGGGACCGAGATAAAATTGAACTAGTTAAACGTCCCACTAGGTGTAACCAGTTGCATCCTTTGTTAGGGCTATCCAGTTAATGTTAATCAAATGTGTTCGAAGGTTCATAGTTTCAAAACATGACTCAACTCACCTTCCCGTATGACTGCAATTTTAAATATGATGCCATAGCTCGTAAATGCTGTTACTACTTTGCACCTTTTTCAGTTACTAACTTCTGATTCCAGCACGTATCAAATTTGGCTACTTGTGCTACTTCGTCGTTTACTCCCACATACAAGCAAGCAATGCTCACCCGATGATGCCTCCAATGCAGTCGTAGAACTCCTCGATGTTGTCAAGGAACTTGAGCAGTCTAGGGAGCACCCCCATTTCCTCGCTCCCCTTCTCGCCACCCACCACTCCCTCCGAGGTCCACTTCCCGACCAAACCGGCCAGGCTATACAGCGCATCCCGCAGGGCACTCCCACCCCTCGCCCCGTTGCGGTGGTGGTGATCGTGGTGGCCGTCGCCGCCGTACCAGTCGAGTTCACGGCCGAGCACGTGCTCCTGTCCTGCCGCGACGAGGCATTTCAGCAGGAGCACCTCGCGGGGCTCGAGCGCGCCCAGCACCCCGTGGCTCGACTCCTTGCCGAAGAACGCCGCGACGCGGGGCTCCGCGTCGAGCGCGCGGAGCTTGTCGCGGAGCGTGCGCGCCGCGCGGAACCTCTCGCGGGCGGCGGAGAGGCGCGCGACCTCCGCGGCGATCGCCGGGTCCCGGAGCGGCTGCGGGTGCGGCTGCTGAGCGGGGGGAGGCGGCGCGGGCGCGGGCCCCGGTGGCTCGCGCTCGATGGGCGCGGTGGAGACGCCCTGCGAGCGCGAGGCCGGCGATGGGGACGGCGACGGCAGCGCGGAGAGGAGGCGGCGGCTCCGCCCGCCGCGGCAGCGCGGGGCACGCGTGTGCGGGAGTGGGAGGCGCGGCGAGAAGAGGGACGCGGCGTGGAGGCGGAGGTGGGGAGGAGCAGGAGGGGTGGGCGCGCGAGAGGCCATGTGTTTTGGTGGTGGGCAGTGCCGCAGTGCGGCAGTGGGGAGGGAGCGGGCGGGTGGGCCGGCGGGTAGAGCCGTAGAGGCGAGAGCGGGAAGGGGAGCCGGGGAGGGGATAAGAGGAGCACACCGTGACAGCGAAAGGCCGAGGGGCGGACGGGCATATGCTCTCGGGCGATACGGTGTGCCTACTGGATTCTCGGGTGCCCACGGTGTGCGGGTCCGCGCGTCGCGGGTCGCGGTCGCGGTCTCGCCGAGCCGGGACGAGGACAAAAGGGAGATGGTTATTGGCTTGTGGCTGCGCGCGTCGGCCGACTGGTGAGTTTTGTTGTGTTTGATGAGTGGGCTTGGGCCCTGGAGGACAAGGAAGAAACGTGGCCCAATTGTTGTTAAATTTACTTACCGACCTTCTTTATCAGAATTCCCAGGTGTAAGGTGTTTGTGCAAGATTTATGTGGGTATAATACAAAATAATGTGTTTGTGCAAGATTTATGTGGGTATAATACAAAATTTGACATAACTGGATGAGATCAAAAGAATTCATCTGCACGCGGTGCGTTTTGCGTTAGAAAGAATCCTTGGTTGCGCAAGCCAAAACTTTCGCGCACTTTTCATTGTTGCGCGATCAATCTTACCCGGGCAGGCCACTTCGGAGTTCGGAGACCGGTTTCATTACTCCAAAGTTACCGATAGAGGCCACAACACCAAATTCACCAAAGACGAAAAAAAAACAGAGGAAATTGAGAACGTGCTGATGCTGGTCACTTGAGCTGTCCTAGCCTCCTAGGTCAGACGGTCCAAAGCCTCCGACCATCCGGCGTGGCAACGCATGAGGCATGACACCGACCTTCGACGCGTGTGCCATAATCCCGTACGTGCGTGCCCCTCCCACGCATCACGCATGCACTATATAATGTCACCGGTGCCTTTGCCCCGCAAACCATACCAAGGGTGCCAAGCAGTCAAGCACGCCAACCTTCGACAGCACGAAGCAATGGCGCGAGCCCTGGCAGCAGCCGTCGCGTTCTTCCTCGCCACCTTGCTCCTCGCTTCGACTCTGGCCACCGCAGCGCCGACGAGCGGCATCCCGGCCGTGTTCGCGTTCGGGGACTCGACGCTGGACCCGGGGAACAACAACGGCCTGGCCACGCTGGTGCGCGCGGACCACGCACCCTACGGCTGCGGCTTCCCGGGGGCCGCGGCCACGGGCCGGTTCTCGGACGGCAAGCTCATCACCGACTACATCGTGGAGTCGCTCGGTGTCAAGGACGTCCTCCCGGCGTACCGCGACAGCGGCCTCACCGTCGCGGAGGCCTCCACGGGGGTCAGCTTCGCGTCGGGCGGGTCCGGCCTCGACGACCTGACCGCGCAGACCGCCATGGTGTCCACGTTCGGCTCGCAGATCGGCGACTTCCAGGACCTGCTCGGCAAGATCGGAATGCCCCAGGCCGCCGAGATCGCCAGCAGGTCGCTGTACGTGATCTCCGCCGGCACCAACGACGTCACCATGAACTACTTCATACTGCCAGTCCGGGCCGGCAGCTTCCCCACCATCGACCAGTACAGTGACTACCTCATCGGCAGGCTCCAGGGATACATTCAGGTACGTTTGGAATCAATCTAGTTATTAATGGTAAGACTAGCTAGTAACTTTTATCGCTAATGATGGCCTTTATTTTCCTTAACTAACAATCCAGAGCCTGTACAATCTGGGAGCCCGGAACTTCATGGTGTCCGGCCTGCCACCGGTGGGGTGCCTGCCGGTGACGAGGAGTCTCAATCTGGCGTCGGGAGGAGGCTGCGTCGCCAACCAGAACGCGGCCGCGGAGCGGTACAACGCGGCGCTGCAGCAGATGCTGACCAAGCTGGAGGCCGCGTCCCCCGGCGCCACGCTTGCGTACGTCGACGTGTACACCCCGTTGATGGACATGGTCACGCAGCCCCAGAAATATGGTGAGCGGCAACAGATCCACAGCCTGCGGAAATAAACTAGGCTAGCTAGATCGATTGAGCTTGAGCACCTGCTGATTCGTCTTTGCTGCGTGCGTTGCAGGTTTCACCGAGACGAGCCAAGGCTGCTGCGGGAACGGTCTGCTGGCGATGGGGGCGCTGTGCACCAGCGCGCTGCCGCAGTGCCGGTCTCCGGCGCAGTTCATGTTCTTCGACTCGGTGCACCCGACGCAGGCCACCTACAAGGCGCTCGCCGACCACATCGTCCAGTCTCACATCACGCAGAGTTAGATTAGCTGGGTTTTGTAGGAACGGCAATGACATTGCGTGTGAAGCTGGTTCCGTGCTTATAGGAGATTAATTAGGAGATTGAGGTAGTTAGGAGATATAGGATTTGTATAGAATGAAAAGATATTCAGTCACGATGTTTACATAGGGAAGTTAATTGAATAAAGTTCTGAGTACTCGAAATAAAGGCCTGTTTGATCACAACTCGGTTATTATAGTTTGGATTATGCGTGAGCCATTGGCCTCTGTGACATCATATAGGTATGTTCCATGTGACATTGAATCTTCTTTGATATGCTACCCAAGCCATTCCCTTGCCAATTTACCGGCCTCTCAAACACGGAGATCGGCGGACGTCCATGGCGCCCATGTGATCTTGTTTGTCCCAGATGAGTAACGGCAACGGGTAGGCAACATGGCTCAAAAGCAGGGCAAATTCATTTTTATTCATCGAGTAGTCGACTCCAACACATGAATCAATTCTTATCTCTCCTCCATGGTTCGCTTCCTTCGGCGATGGGTTTGATTCAGTCATATACCAACATCAGATGATACATCGCTTTGCTTTTCCTAGTGTTTTTCTCACTGGAGATGGCCTTAGTCATATTTTAGCTCATTGCTTCTATTTGTTCATTAGCTAAAACAAGCAAATTACAATCTCGCACGAGCAGTGAGAAACCCATCACATGCTCAACTTCTGCCGTTCTATGCAAACTAAGCATGAAGATCTAGGAAACAAACATGCAATACTTCAAGGTATGGAGCGAACAATCAAAGAATAAGGCTACAAGTGGGTTGTTATAGGGCATTAGCATACATAAGTAAGCATACATCTTAGGTACTGTAGTTAAGTTACACAGTTCAATAAAGGAGGCAAGATGCTTAGAGCCTAGCTTGGGATCAACTTGGGGTTCATCTGGTTCATGTTTAGTAGCAAACTTAACTTCTTGCTTAACATTTGTCTCCTTGGTTGCTTCGGTTACTATATGAGTGGAGCGTGGCATAAGTAAACATGTTACATATTACTTGCAGTGATTATGCATGAATGATGTAGGAAAACTTTTATATATAGCTTGAAACATTAATAGGAACAATAGAGTAATGTCAGTACACCAGGCTTTGGGTACATAGTGTGGGTCTAACATATGTGAATTGTTTGGATACTCAGGTTTAACCAACCGTCTGAGAATTGGGCCGTCCTTCCAGAACTCATGTGTTTCAGACTCAAGTGAGTTCACGCGGACCATTCAGAGCCAACCACGACTACGTGGGTGGACATGTTTGGGTGACCAGGGGTTCATTGCTCGGTGGGGGGTTCTCATGGTTTGTCCCTCTAGACAGGCAAATAGTATCCCTAAACTAGTTGGGACTTATGTAGATAAGGTCCTTCCCTAATGTGGTCTCATAGAGTGGCCAGCGAGGCGCCGAAGTAGCATCTCCAATCGAAGAGCGTGGATGTGACTATGAGAGGCTACAGGCAGTAGAGAGAGGGCGTTAGAGGCATCAGGGTGGAAGGTTGAAAGCGAGGGCAGGGTTTTAGAGAGAGAGACCAGAAAAGTTAAGGATTGAGTGAGTTCGTTTCACAAGAGCTTGATTCACATATCTTTGATAGCAATGATAGAGTGGGCTCTTGTACAATGTCATGTCCACTGTTCGCCTAAACGGCCGTTTAGCCCGTTTACACAAAGGTCGCGGATGCTCCGCTGAGAACTGGGTGCTCTCGGGTTTTGGGGATTCAACCTTAACAATTCGACGGACACTCAGTCTCTTGCTCCAAAAGGGTGTTGGTGCGTCTACTTGGGATTTTACTGAACTAGGAAGGTTTATCGGACACTCCGATACGTTGGGCGATAGAAACCGTTTAAACGTTACACGGTGGTATACCGTTTCCGTTTAATCGGTTGTTTTCACCGTTTAAATGTCCGTTTTCCCTTTTAAACACCCGTTTTGCTCGAATAATGGGCTAAACGATAGGTGACCGACTGTTTACTGTTTAACATTTAGGATAACACTGGTCACGTCTTCTCAATTGTGAGAAACGACGTAAATGGCCTTAGTTTGGATAGCTTCAATATGCTACAAGGCATCCATAGGAAAATCACACCAAGTCTATGTTGTGTTCACCTCCACTAAAGATCCAAAATGCTACGAGCGTCCCAGCGAAGCTAGAGACATAGCTGGCCTAGCTAGAGTTTTTTTTAAAACAATTTATTAAAACCTCTATCCCGAGAAATCCTTGGATACTAAAACTGCAACAACGTCTGGAAGGTATTGCCAGAACAAGTGATCGTTTGTACAGCTTAAGCCCATGGCTGGTAGTGTGTGAGCTACAGAGGTGGCAGCTGCCCACCGGCTCTTCTCCCGTCTAATGATCCACGTCACATGTTGTTTCCCGTAAAAAATGCTCTCGTTGCTAGGCCTGGAGAGGCATAAATGGCCATGAGTACTTGTAGCATCCACTCACTTAAAAGCCCCACCAGCTGCATCAAGTTTTATTTACCAGTACATGATCACGTTCTGCAGGCAATCACAATCCTCTCCAATTTAAGAAAAACTGCAACTAATCCAAGAATCCAGACCAAGCGTGAAATGACAAAATTATTATGGTATTGAAGCGAGCAAAATTCAGTTGGAACTAGAGAGTAGTATTCTGACAAGGAAATAGGAAGCAAACAATGAAGCCAGTTCGCATCGTAGGCCAATTACAAGTAGATCAACACCAACATAAAGGCAGCAAGACTCCAGTGCCATGGAGACATGGACAATTGACACAACACAAAAGCGGCCATGGGCTGAAGTAACGCGTTGTTGTTTCCTCATTGTCACTCCTGCAAAAAAAGTAACACTGCATCCATGTTTTTGGCTATTGTTATGCAGATAGTTCAAAAGCATGATCCTACATTCTTACTAATATGTTTAAAAGGTCTACTAGGAGTTACGCAAAGCCCAATAAACTCAGACAACTTCCAGCTGTGAAGTTCAATGTGGGCATCCACAATGCCCAGACTTCAGCCAACATAAACCCATTGCCAGAAGCATCCCATTTTGATTGTACCAACATCAACAACTGCCTAATGCATCCCCTCGCAAAAAGAGAAACTTCAACACCTTGACGTGTTAATTTTCAGAAACCTGAAAAGCAAATAAGAAACATTAGGAATATCTGGATGAGTGATATGGCAAAGCAAGACTGAAATGTAGTATAATGCTATAATCACATATGTTTATACTGTGCTTATTTTCACTCATTATGTTTATGTATTGATTTTATAGAGAAAAAAGAAATGACCGGAAAAGTCCTCAATAAGAGCAGACAATCCAACTTTAGTTCAGTTTTACTCTTATAGTTGCTTAGACAATAACCTATCATGATGACAAAGGATAGGGATCTTTTAGGCTTTCATACTTGGTAGTTTTCTTGGCATAAATTAACAAATGATGTCTGATAGTTCAAATAACAATTACATTCTGCATAGACAAGTAAAATGCCACAGTGACTACTTTTAGTATGCTCCTGCTGTCTTGCACAAGGGATTCCAATGTGCAACTACAAAAACTACAAATAACAACCATTATTGGAGTAAAATGCTTAACCGACATAGCCATCATGCAAATTGATTTGTCATGGTCGAGTACGTGCTTCTAAAATAATTACACTAGTGCATTTCAGGAGGCCAAGCTAACTAGACAAGATTGCAGTATCCTTAGCATGAATTAACCAATGAGAGTTAACTTAGGAAGTACCAAATGATGTATTTGCTGCTTTCATCCCCATTACCACTTCCTTAATTTCCTCCATGGAAAAAGGTTTGACCAGATCTAGCTTATCTTCCTTTGACAAGAGTAAGTCAGTGGGCCAAAAATCAGGTTTCAATTTCATGTTACAAGGCTCATTGTGCCCAAAAAGACACTTGTAGAAATCTACAATATGTGAAGAAATAGCACTTTGACCTCTAATCTCTCCATTCTCAGATTCTAAAAAGGTAATTGTTTTCTTCCTCCTTCTCCCATTTACAAATTGGTGAAAGAATTGAGTATTTGCATCCTCATGCAAAATCCAGTTCTTCCCCACTTTTTGTTTCCATTGGAGTTCCTCAATTGTATTCATCCTATCTAGAGATTCCTCCAAGTTAATTCTCTCTTCCCACTCAGCAATGCTTAGTAGTCTTTTTTCAGCTATTAAGTCAATTTCTTCAATTCTAGTAGAAATGTCTCTCCTCAAAGCTCTTTCCTTCCCAACAGACTTCAAATTCCACCCTCTCAATATTGTCTGTGAGACTGAAGGCACCCATGTCAAATATCCAGTGAGTAAAACTGATTATCATGCTTTTGCCTAAACTCCCCCCATTTGGATTTGATCAATTCACAAAAGCCCTCCTGGTGGGTCCATTTTTCTTCAAAAAAGAAATATTTTGGTCTAGGAGCTCCTTGCTCCCCAGTGTCCAAAATCAGGGGTGAGTGATCAGAACCTATTCCCAAGAAAAGCTATGAGAGTAATTCAAATCCCAGCTAACAGTTACCAAAATCCTATCCAGTTTAACTAAAGTGGGTTTTTTCCCTTAGGTGAAAATTACCAATGAAATCATTGAAAAAAATCCATGAGCTTGGGGTCACCTTGACCATGATTTCTGTCATTATTGCTTCGGATAAGGTTAAAATCGCCCCCCATCACAATAGGCAGAATTTCATTGGCACATAAAGTAGATAATTCCTGAATAAAATCCCCTGACAATTCATGTTGGGCAGGTCCATATATGTTAAGCACCCAAAATTTAAAATTGGTTAGTCTATTTCTTACCAAACAACCCAGAAAATAACCAGCTAGTTCTACCTGCTTAACTTCAAAACTCTCCATTTTAACTCCCAAAAGTAAACCCCCTGAGTGGCCCCTTGCTGGAATCCATTTCCAAACAAAGTCAACTGAACTTGACATATCTCTCAATTCTTGATCACTGAAATCTTGTTTAATTGTTTCCTGAATCCCCACTATATCTAAGTTTTCT